AAGATGGCAGCACCCTCAGCTACAAGATGGCAACACCCACTCCCCTCAGCCCTGCTGGGGTGGCAGACACGCAGCAAGGCTGGGCCCACCCCCAGGCAGGCCCGGCCGCTCCGCACACCTGCCTCCAGAGTCCCTTCCCTGCAGCACCGCAGCCACCCAGGCCAGCCTCGGCTCAGGTAACCAGGTCCAGCTGAGGCTTGCACTGCTGGCTGCGGCAGCAGCAGAGGTGTGATGGGGTGTCACCTTCCCCTGATCGCCTGGTTGCCTCCCACCCCTGAGGGCTCCCGGACTGTGAGAGGGGGCAGGCCGGGCTGAGGGAACCCTTCCAGTGCATGAATTTTCTACTCTATATATATAAAATCCTAATGTGCAAATAGCCCAACCGGCGGAACAGCCAAACAACTGGTCGCTGTGACATGCGCTGACCACCAGGGGGCATCGAGGAACACGGCGGGTGTCGGCTGTGGTGGGAAGGTGGAACAGGTGAGTGGGGTGCCGGTCGCTGTCATCAGGGTGAACCTCCAGTGGTTGCTAAAAATTCTTTGCTAAAAATTCCTCGGCCCCACCTGCCACTCGCACCCGCTGCCAGTGCCCACCGCCAGCCCCTATTGCTTGGCGCTGTCAGCGGGTGTGAGCGGTGGCTGCATCCCCGCTCACCTCTCGGGGCTTCTCCACCTCCCCCTGCTCCTGAGGGGCCATCGGGGCGGCAGGCAGACAGGGACCGGGCCTCTGGGGAGGGGCCGGGTGGGGCACAGAGGGTGGGCCGAGACCCGCCCTGTGCCCGCAGCCTCGGGCCCACAGCTCCGTTCCAGGCGTGGGAACTCCTGCACACGACCAGGTTAAGAATAAGATCCCGGTAAGGTCCCTCCCAGCCTCACCTTCTCGCCATTTTAACGTGTTTTCTTTCTTCTCTGGTCACGATCTGGCCCTGCGGGACGCCGGGCAGCGGGCGGCACAGAGACGGCACTCAATGGCAGGCTGACAAGGAGCCGTGTGCGGGAGAGCTGAGGAGGAGGCTGGTGGGCAGGGGCCGCGCAGAACGGGGGGCCCCGGTGCCTGCAGCGTGACAAACCCCAACACCTCCTTCCTGCCCTGGCCCAGGGCCTGCCTTTCCCGCCTCCTGGGGGCCAAGAGGGAGGGCGCGGCGACCGAGGACCAGTGTTCCCCTGGCTGAGGGTGGGACCCTGGCTGAGGGTGGCCCCCTGGCTGAGGGTGGGACCCTGGCTGAGGGTGGCCCCCTGGCTGAGGGTGGGACCCTGGCTGAGGGTGACCCTCTGGCTGAGGGTGACCCTCTGGCTGAGGGTGGGTCCCTGGCTGAGGGTGAGTCCCCTGGCTGAGGGTGAGTCCCTGGCTGAGGGTGGCCCCTGGCTGAGGGTGGGACCCTGGCTGAGGGTGGGACCCTGGCTGAGGGTGGCCCCCTGGCTGAGGGTGGGACCCTGGCTGAGGGTGACCCTCTGGCTGAGGGTGGGTCCCTGGCTGAGGGTGAGTCCCCTGGCTGAGGGTGAGTCCCTGGCTGAGGGTGGCCCCTGGCTGAGGGTGGGACCCTGGCTGAGGGTGGGCCCCCTGGCTGAGGGTGGCCCCTGGCTGAGGGTGGGACCCTGGCTGAGGGTGAGCCCCCTGGCTGAGGGTGGGACCCTGGCTGAGGGTGACCCCCTGGCTGAGGGTGAGTCCCCTGGCTGAGGGTGGGACCCTGGCTGAGGGTGGGACCCTGGCTGAGGGTGGGACCCTGGCTGAGGGTGGGCCCTTGGAAAGCAATGCCAGGCAGACAGAGCGGGAAGGACCAGGGCAGCTCCACGGGGCGTGGCCGGGGCCTGGTGGCAGAGGGGAGGCTCCGGGGCTGCTGAGGAAGCCGCTGGAAGGCTGGCCAGCTGGACAGGGGGCCGGCTGGACAGGGGGCCGGCTGGGCAGGGGGCGGGCAGGGCAGGGGGCGGGCTGGACAGGGGGCCAGCAGGGCAGGGGGTGGGCAGGGCAGGGGGCCAGCAGGGCAGGGGCAGGCTGGGCAGGGGGCCGGCTGGACAGGGGGCCGGCTGGGCAGGGGGCAGGCAGGGCAGGGGGTAGGCAGGGCAGGGGGCAGGCAGGGCAGGGGGCCGGCTGAGCAGGGGGCCGGCTGGACAGTGGTAGGCAGGCTGCAGGCAGGTGATGGGGTTTTTGTCAGGGTCACAGGGAGCTATGAAGGGTTGAAGGCAGGAGGTGCACAGCCTGGCTCTGGGCTGGGTGGCCAGGGCGGGGTTCGCAGGCGGGGGGTGGGTGGGGAGAGGTGAGCCGAGGGGCAGGGCTGCATCGAGGGGGGAAGACAAGTCTCTGAGGGCCTGGGATCCCTCCCTCTCCACGTGCCAGACTCACAGGCCAGGGGAGGGTCCCCAAGATCAGCCTCTGCCCCTGAGAGCCTGGCCCCGAGGCCTGTGGGCTCAAGGCCTGGAGGCCCGTTTCCGGGACCTCAACGGCGCCCCCTCCTGGGGGGCTCCAGGGGCCGCTGCCGGAGGGCGTGACCCTCAGGTGGCCCCACTGGGACTGACCGAGTCCCCGTGTCCAGGGACAAAGCCGGCCGGGCCTCTGGGGCCTGGGCCTCCCGGGCCTCCCGCTCCGCCTGCGGTCCTGGGCGCCCCCTGGTGGCTGGCGGGCCAGCTGCCGGCCAGCCTGGAGGATGCTCTGTGCCTCCCTTCTCCCCCATACCTGGGGCGCCCCCTGGTGGCTGGCGGGCCAGCTGCCTGCCGGCCTGGAGGATGCTGGAGTCCGGAGGGCAGGGCCTGACTGGGGACAGGGGGCCTGGCAGGGGGTTCTGGGAGGGTCTGGTCGCTCTGGGGAAGGGGCACACGCATATTACCCAGCCTGGTCGTGTCCTCTGTTACCCACAAGCGCCCAGAGGGGGCAGGTCCCTATATTTTCAGAGAAACGGCAGCCCAGGGGTGTTCGGAGCCTAAGGGTGTGGGAGGGAGCCCAGGACGGTGGGCTCCAGCGGGCACCTCCCCACAGGGCCCGTGGCGCTGCAGGACCCCGGAGGGGTGGGCACCTCTGTCCTCCATGGGGCGCTGGCCCACTTGTTGGAGAGGTAAACTGAGGCTGGGCGGAGGCACTCTGCCCCACCCTTAGGCACAGCCCACAGGGACCATGACAGCAAGCAGCAGCCCGCCCACAGGGTCACCTCCCTGGCATTGGCTGCCCAGGGCCGGCCGGTGGGCGGGAGGGGGAGGAGGAGGAAGAGGAAGAGGAGGAGGAGGAGCAGAGCTGTTCCTGGGCAGCCTCCACTGCTCCTTGGGGAGCGGCAGGTGTCGGGGCGCCGGGAAGGAGCAGGCAGGTAGGTGCCCCTGCCCTCAGCTCCCCGTGGGGTGGGGGGCGGAGGGAGGAGCGGCCTGCGGCCCCGGGGTGGTGGGGGCCGCGACCCTCAGCGACCCTCCTGGGTTCGAGCCCACACCCGTTCCCGGGGACCCCGAGTGTGCAGTGGGTGGAGGGGCCATCGCGGGGAGGGGGCTGGGCCCGGGCAGGCGGGGCTGGGGTCACTGTGGGCCCTCCCGGCGGCCTGGACGAGGGTGGCCGGCGAACACGGCCAAGCCCCCCGGACGGGGGTCTCTGGGCATGTCGGACCCCGGCCGCCCCCCCCCCCACCGCCAGGGGAACAAGGGGACATTGAGCACCGCACCTGCTCATGCAAATCCCGGCTTTGCATCTCCTGCCCTCGGCCCATTTGCCTGGCACCTGCCCTGTGCCCCCCACGCCCCCTCCCGATCCAGAACCGAGGTCCAGGCCGAAGCTGGTGGGGGGGTGAGAGCTGCTGGCTGTGACCTCCACACCCGCTACAGTCGGCTGCCCCGGAGAGGAGGGGCCGGGGAGACCCCGGACCCCAGCAGGGCTGTCCCTCCTGACCCCCCGCCCAGCACACAGGCACCGTCCAGCCTCTGAGCCTGCAGCCCACACCCTCCGGGAGGGCCAGGGCTGAGCGCCCAGCTTGGGGCGCGGTTCCCTGTCGTGGACAGAAACAGCCCTGCTGGCAGCCAGGCAGGTCAGGGCTGCTGGGAGTGAGGGGCGCCCTGGCCCCTAACCACACCCTCGCTGCACGGAGCCCACCCCTGCCTCACTGCCTGGATATTGGGGTAGAAGACGTCCCCCCAAATTCATGGCCACCTGAGAGAGGGCCTATCCACGTGAGGGCTCGGATGCCGCCTCCCCGAGGGGCCGGGCGTGAGGGCCGGGGTCCCTGTGAGGGGGCGGCCCGGGCCCAGGGTGGCCGCGAGGACAGAGGCGGAAGCGGGGTTCACGCAGCCCGCACCCCGGAAGGAGCGCCGGGGATCCCTGGAGCCAGGAGGGCGGGAAGGACCCTCCCCGGAGCCTCAGGGGTGCGGCCGGGGCAGCTGGGTGCTGGGGGGCAGCCCCAGCCTGGCCCTGAGTCCGCTGGGCACGGGGGGGGGGTAGGGGGGAACTCTCCTCCCCTCCCCGGCCCGGCTCCTCTCCCTTTTCTCTGGGCGAGTCCTCACCTGAGGGCGTTTGCACTGGTTTAGGGAGCGGAACGGGGCGGGAGAGGGGAGCACGGGTGAGAGAGACATCGATGGGCTGCCTCCTGCTCACCCCGGACCAGGGCCGGGAACCTCTCCCGAGGGCCATGCCCTTGACCGGAACGGAACCCGGGACCTTTCAGCCTGCCGGCTGACGCTCTAGCCACTGAGCCACACCAGCCAGGGCCCCGGCTCTGGTACCAAAGCTCCGGGGCCGGGCTGCCGGGCCTCGGGGGCGCGTGGGCACAGCGAGCGCACAGGCACCGGCCCGCCCGCCCCGAGGCCTCTGAGGATACTGAGTGCCCGCCGAGGCCGTGACCACACCGGGCACTGACGCCTGCTCCGGCCTCTGGCCGCGGCTCCCACGTGGGGTCGCAGGCCGTGCCCCGGACGCCCTTCCTGCCTCTGCGGGCCCTGGGCCGGCGCACTCTGCCTCCGGGTACCGAGCCCCAGGCTGGGGAGCCCCGCCATGGCTCACCTTCAGCCCCCCACAGGTGCGGCCGCACCGGGGACATGGCGGGGGCCCACGGCGAGAAGTCCCCACCCGGCCTGAGCCGCCCCCCCAAACCCGGGGGCGCGGGCACCGGGCGGGGGCCCGGCCTGTGCCGGGGCGAGATCGAGTTCGGGGGGTCTGGGAAGAAGCGAGGCCGGGTAAGCGCCCCCCATCCCACACCCACACCTTATCCCACACCCCACACCCACAGCCCCACCCCCATCTTCACCCCAATCCCCACCCCACACCCCTATCCCACACCCCACACCTCACCCCCACCCCCATCCCCACCCCACACCCACATCCCACACCCACAGCCCCACCCCCATCCCCACCCCACACCCCATCCCCTATCCCCCCATCCCCACACCCACACCTTATCCCACACCCCACACCCATCCCCACCCCCAATCCCCACCCCACACCCCTATCCCATACCCCACACCTCACCCCTACCCTCATCCCCACCCCACACCCCCATCCCCTATCCCCCCATCCCCACACCCACACCTTATCCCACACCCCACCCTCATCCCCACCCCCAATCCCCACCCCCATCCCCACCCCCATCCCCACCCCACACCCCACACCTCACCCCCACCCCCATCCCCTATCCCCCCATCCCCACACCCACACCCACATCCCACACCCACACCTTATCCCACACCCACACCCACAGCCCCATCCCCCATCCCCACAACCACACCCACATCCCCACCCCCAATCCCCACCCCACACCCCTATCCCACACCCCACACCTCACCCCCACCCCCATCCCCACCCCACACCCCCATCCCCACCCCCCATCCCCACCCCCAATCCCCACCCCCCACCACACACCCCCACTCCCATCCCCACCCCCAGTCCCCCTGACACCCCCATCCCCTATCCCCCCATCCCCACACCCAATCCCCCAACCCAACCCCCACCACACACCCACACCCCCATCCCCACCCCCACCCCCACACCCTACACCCCGTGACCCAGCCCCACACGATCATGGGAACCTGGGCCCTTCCATCCAGCCCTCCCCACCCCAGCCCTGCCCCACCCAAAGCAGAGCAAGGCCCAGACTGGGGAGGGACCACAGGTCACACAGCCTCCGGCTGCCGCCACCCCTCCGCCCAGCGCCCCCTCCGTGCCCAGCGCCCCCTCCGCCCTGTCGCGCCCTCCGCCCCGTCGCGCCCGCCCCGCCCAGCGCCTGCGCCCTCCGCCCGCAGTTCGTGAAGGTGCCGAGCAGCGTGGCCCCGGCCGTGCTCTTCGACCTCCTGACGGCCGAGTGGCACCTGCCGGCGCCGCACCTGGTGGTGTCCCTGGTGGGCACCGAGCGGCCCGAGGCCATGAAGTCCTGGCTGCGTGACGTGCTGCGCAAGGGGCTGGTGAAGGCAGCCCAGAGCACGGGTGAGCCCCCCACGGCCCCCCCACGGCCCCCCACGCCCCCCACGCCCCACTCCCACGGTCCCCCCTCCCACAGCCCCCCTCCCACGGCCCCCCTCCCACGGCCCCCTCCCACACCCCCCCACGGCCTCCCTCCCACGGCCCTCCCTCCGGCCCCCCTCCCACAGCCCCCCTCCCACGGCCCCCCTCCCACGGCCCCACTCCCACGGTCCCCCCTCCCACGGCCCCCCTCCCACGGCCCCCCTCCCACGGCCCCCTCCCACACCCCCCCACGGCCTCCCTCCCACGGCCCTCCCTCCGGCCCCCCTCCCACGGCCTGAGCGGGGAGCACTCGGGGGCACGGCGAGGGGCGAGGGTCACCTCGGGCCCAGAGCCGCCCCCGGGCCTCACTGCTGGGCCACAGCCTCAGGGAGACGCCCGTGGCCCACATGCGCCCCCGCCCTCTGCCTCGGCTGGTCAGCTCCCGTGTGGCTCAGGCTGCAGAGCCGCTGTCAGCTCCACCCCCACCGGAGCGGCTGCGGCAGAGGACGGCCAGGCGGGGTGGACGGAGCCGGCCTCCCGCGCTGGCCGGTGCCCGGGGGCGGCTGGGCGGGCGGCCTGGCAGAGGCCCTGCAGTGGGGGGCCCTGCAGTGGGGGGACCGGCGGTGGGGGGACCGGCGGTGGGGGGGCCGGCGGTGGGGGGCCGGCGGTGGGGCCCGGCGGTGGGGGCCCGGCGGTGGGGGCCCTGCAGTGGGGGCCCGGCATTGGGGGCCCGGCGGTGGGGGCCGGCGGTGGGGGCCCGGCGGTGGGGGGCCGGCGGTGGGGGGCCGGCGGTGGGGGCCGGCGGTGGGGCCCGGCGGTGGGGCCCGGCGGTGGGGGCCGGCGGTGGGGGCCGGCGGAGGGGGCCGGCGGTGGGGGGACCTGGCCGCCGGCACAGTAAGGCCCCCCCGCCCCGCAGGCGCCTGGATCCTGACCAGCGGGCTCCGCGTGGGCCTCGCCCGGCACGTGGGGCAGGCGGTGCGGGACCAGGCGCTGGCCAGCACGTCCGCCGAGGCCCGCGTGGTGGCCGTGGCCTTCGCCTCGCTGGGCCGCGTGCTGCACCGCCAGCTGCTGGACCAGGCCCCGGTGAGCGCCCACCCGGGGTCCCCACCCCATCTCCCCGCCCCGCCCCCTGGCTGTGCCCCCGCCCGCCCCCTGGCTGTGCCCCCGCCCCGCCCCCTGGCTGTGCCCCCGCCTCTGCCCCTGGCTGTGCCCCCGCCTGCCCCCTGGCTGTGCCCCCGCCTCCGCCCCTGGCTGTGCCCCCGCCTCTGCCCCTGGCTGTGCCCCCGCCTCTGCTCCTGGCTGTGCCCCCGCCTCTGCCCCTGGCTGTGCCCCCGCCCCGCCCCCTGGCTGTGCCCCCGCCCCGCCCCCTGGCTGCGCCCCCGCCCCGCCCCCTGGCTGTGCCCCCGCCCCGCCCCCTGGCTGTGCCCCCGCCCGCCCCCTGGCTGCGCGCTAAGAGTGCGCGTCCTGGGCTCGGGGGAGCCAGCCGGCATGTCTCTCAAGGATGGACCGAGAGAGGCAGAGGGAGGACGGAGCCGGGCGCTCTGTGCCCAGCGCACGGCCAGCGGGTGGCAGCACCAGGGAAGGGTGTGGGCAGGGCACAGACCTAGGCAGGGGGCCGTGCCCAGAGGCCAGCAACCCTGGGCGGCCCCCTCCCCCCAGGGCTGTCCTAGGGGTCAGGGCCGGGGTCGCCCGCAGCCCCGGGGAGTGGAGCCCTGCAGCCCAGCCACCCCTGGGGGCCCTCGCCAGCAGCCCAGCCCGGGTCGGGGGGGGGGGCATGGCCCGGCAGAGCCGGCCGGCTCACCGTGTGCTCGGCCAGGAGCACAGCCCCGTCCACTACCCCGCGGACGAGGGCGGCGGCCAAGGCCCCCTCTGCGCGCTGGACAACAGCCTCTCCCACTTCGTGCTGGTGGAGCCGGACGCGCCCGGCTCCGGGGACGGGGCCATGGAGCTGTGGCTGAGGCTGGAGAAGCACATCTCGGAGCAGAGGACGGGCTATGGGGGTGAGCACCCGGAGGCCGGGCCACGGTGGGCGGAGTGGCGGGGCGGGAGGACCCCGAGCGGCGGGAGGGGAGGACTCGCTGCCAGGAGCCGGCAGCCCCGTGTCTACTGGGCCTCGCGGCCAGGGCTCGGCCAGGGCTCGGCCAGGGCTCCGGCTTTGGGAAGTGAGGTTTGCCCGTTTCCCAAGGCCTGTTCCCTCCGCTGCCACCAGGGGGCAGCGCCGCCCAGGGCTCAGGTGCCGGGGCCTTGGGAGCCGGATTTGCTAAGAAACGCCACTTATAAGACCCCGAACCGCTCATGGCATCGATCCCTCTAAGGGTGAAACACGGCCCGGTGCTCAAACCGCTACCAGGTGGGCCGGGCACGCCTGGCTGTGAGCCGTGCCGCCTGCGGTCCGTCAGGAGGGGCCCGGGGAGCCCCCACCAGGAGCCCCCAGGGCCAGGCGTCTGGGGGAGCCTCCTCTGGTCCGGGTTTGGGGACGGGTGCCCCAGGCCTCCTTGACCCCTCGCTCATCGTGGGAACAGCCTGGACACGCAGGGCCGGCCTGAGCGGCCAGGTCCGGGGTCTCGGCCGGGGGTCACCGTGTGTGTGAACAGCCATGGGGAAGGGGGTGGGGGGAGGACGGGTCCTTGTCCCGGTGACGGACAAGGGGGCCTCCGGCCGCCGTTGGCTGGGACACGGGGCCTCACGGTCGCTCCCCCACAGGCACCGGCAGCATCCAGATCCCCGTGCTCTGCCTGCTGGTCAACGGGGACCCCAGCGCCCTGGAGGTAGGGGCCCGGCGGGGGGCCCCGGGGCCTCCCCGGAGCGCGGGGCTGACTCGGCGTCTCCCTGCGCCCCCAGAGGATGGCGCGGGCCGTGGAGCAGGCCGCCCCCTGGCTGGTGCTGGCGGGCTCGGGCGGCATCGCCGACGTGCTGGCCGCCGCGCTGGCCCAGCCGCACCTGCTGGTGCCCCAGGTGGCCGAGAAGCAGCTGCGGGAGAAGTTCCCGGGCGAGCACTTCTCCTGGGAGGACGTGCTGCACTGGACCAAGCTGGTGAGCCGGCCCGGCCGGGAGGGACCTGCTCCCACGTGCCCCTCCCCCCGCGCACCCCCAGCCCCTGTGCACCTCTCCAGTCCCCGTGCACCCCCCCAGCCCCCGTGCACCCCCCCAGCCCCCGTGCACCCCCAGCCCCCGTGCACCCCCCCTGCCCCCGTGCACCCTTCCAGCCCCCATGCACCCCCCACCCCCGTGCACCCCCCAGCCCCCGTGCACCCCCTCCAGCCCCCATGTACCCCCCCTGCCCCCGTGCACCCCCTCCAGCCCCCGTGCACCCCCCCTGCCCCCGTGCACCCTTCCAGCCCCCGTGCACCCCCCACCCCCCGTGCACCCCCCAGCCCCCGTGCACCCCCCACCCCCCGTGCACCCCCCAGCCCCCGTGCACCCCCCCAGCCCCCGTGCACCCCTCCAGCCCCCGTGCACCCCCCAGCCCCCGTGCACCCCTCCAGCCCCCGTGCACCCCCCCAGCCCCCGTGCACCCCTCCAGCCCCCGTGCACCCCCCCAGCCCCCGTGCACCCCCCCAGCCCCCGTGCACCCCTCCAGCCCCCGTGCACTCCCCAGCCCCCGTGCATCCCACCCCCGTGCACCCCCTCCAGTTCCCGTGCACCCCCCAGCCCCCGTGCATCCCCCCAGCCCCCGTGCACCCCCCCAGCCCCGTGCACCCCCCCAGCCCCCGTGCACCCCTCCAGCCCCCGTGCACCCCTCCAGCCCCCGTGCACCCCCCCAGCCCCGTGCACCCAACCCCTGTGCACCCCCCAGCCCAGTGCACCCCCCCAGCCCCCGTGCACCCCTCCAGCCCCCGTGCACCCCCCCAGCCCCCATGCACCCCTCCAGCCCCCGTGCACCCCCCAGCCCCCATGCACCCCCCAGCCCCCGTGCACCCAACCCCCGTGCACCCCCTCCGGTCCCTGGGCACCCCCTCCAGCCCCTGTGCATCCCCCCAGCCCCCGTGCACCCCCCAGCCCCCGTGCATCCCACCCCCGTGCACCCCCTCCAGTACCCTGGAACCCCCTCCAATCCTTGTGCACCCCCTCGGGTCCCTGTGCACCCCTTCCGGGCGGGCCAGCCCTGGGAGCTCTGTGCCCCTCCCACCCAGACGGCCCAGCCCCTTTGGAGGCAGAGCCCCAAACTCCATCGGGTCCGGGGCCTGGAGCAGTCCCTGTGGCAGTGGTTCTGTGCCAGGCCCGTGGGGTCAGGCACACAGGGTGACAGTGGGACCCTGCCTCACACACCACCCAGAGCTGCCCAGGGCCTGCCCTCTGCCCTCTCCTGCCCTGACCTCTGCCCTGCCCTCTGCCCGCCCCGTCCATGGCCCTCCGTGTCCGCCAGCTGCAGTGCATTGCCTCGCACCCGCACCTGCTCACCGTGCACGACTTTGAGCAGGAGGGCTCCGCGGAGCTGGACACGGCCATCCTCAAGGCGCTGGTGAAAGGTGAGGCGCAGCCAGCCCCCGCTGGGGCCCGGGCGCTTCTGCTGGAGAGGGGCTCATGCTGGGGCCGCCACGGCAGCCGGTCCTGAGGCCGCACCCCCGCCCGGCCTGCCGCCCGCCCGCAGCCTGCAAGAGCCACAGCCAGCAGGCGCAGGACTACCTGGACGAGCTGAAGCTGGCCGTGGCCTGGGACCGTGTGGACATCGCCAGGAGTGAGATCTTCAACGGCGACGTGGAGTGGAAGGTGCCGGGCCGGGGGCCGGGGGGGGCGGCGTCCTGAGGGCCAGGCCCACTCTCCCCGGGCCGCCACGGGGGTCCGAGCATCAGGCGGCTCCTTGGCTCCCCAGCGCCCTCCCCAGGGAGCCTGCCCACAGCCGGGGCCGTGGCACCCGCAGCTGCCCGCGCCTGCGCCTGCGCCCGCGCCGTCCCCGCTCTCCCGGGCGGCTGGGTGCCGGGAGCGGGTGCAGAGGCCCCTCCCAGCCTCTCACCCGTCCCCGCTCTGCCCCCCCCCCCCGCCACGGCGCAGTCCTGCGACCTGGAGGAGGCCATGATGGACGCGCTGGTGAGCGACAAGCCGGAGTTCGTGCGGCTGTTCGTGGACCACGGCGCGGACGTGGCCGACTTCCTGACGTACGGGCGGCTGCAGCAGCTGTACCGGGCCGTGCCGCCCAAGAGCCTGCTCTTCTCGCTGCTGCAGCGCAAGCTGGAGGAGGGCCGGCCGGCGCTGCCCGCCCAGGGGCCGCCCCCGGGGCCGCCCGCCTTCTCGCTGCAGGAGGTGGCCCGCGTGCTCAAGGACTTCCTGCACGACGCCTGCCGCGGGCTCTACCAGGTGGGCGGGGGGGCGGGCTCTGCCAGGTGGGCGGGGGGCGGGCTCTGCCAGGTGGGCGGGGGGCGGGCTCTGCCAGGTGGGCGGGGGGCGGGCTCTGCCAGGTGGGCGGGGGGCGGGCTCTGCCAGGTGGGCGGGGGGCGCGGGCTCTGCCAGGTGGGCAGGGGGGCGGGCTCTGCCAGGTGGGCGGGGGGCGGGCTCTGCCAGGTGGGCAGGGGGGCGGGCTCTGCCAGGTGGGCGGGGGGCGCGGGCTCTGCCAGGTGGGCGGAGGGCGGGCTCTGCCAGGTGGGCGGGGGGGGGCGGTCAGCAGGGCCAGCCAAGGGCTGACCCCCCGCCGGCCCGCAGGGAGGGGCCCCGGCCCGTCGGCCTGCCGGCCAGAGGTGGCAGCTGGACCTGAGCCAGCGGAGCGAGAACCCGTGGCGGGACCTGTTCCTGTGGGCCGTGCTGCAGAACCGCCACGAGATGGCCACCTACTTCTGGGCCATGGTGAGCGGCGGCCACAGGGCCCGGCCACGGGGTCCCCAGCTCCCGGGCCCGGGCGGGCCGGTGGCCGCAGCCTCCTCAGACCCTCTCCCAGGGCCAGGAGGGCGTGGCCACCGCTCTGGCCGCCTGCAAGATCCTCCGCGAGATGGCGCACCTGGAGGCGGAGGCGGAGGCGGACCGCGGCTCCCGAGGGGCGTCCTACGAGCAGCTGGCCCTGGGTGAGCCCCCGCCCGGGCCTCCCCACGGGGGACCACGCCTGGAGCCCACAGCCACGCCGGCGCCTGGGCCCTGTGGTGGGAGGGACGCCAGGGGACTGAGACCCCCAGGGTTCTGGGGAGACAGAGAGCGGGTGGGGATGCCCGGCAGAGCGGAGCCTGGGCCCTGCGGTGAGGGGGACGCGGGGAGACGGGCCGGGCGGGCGGACGCCCCACAGAGCGGAGCCTGGGCCGTGCGGTGGGGGGACGCGGGGAGACGGGCCGGGCGGGCGGACGCCCCGCAGAGCGGCCCTGGCGGCAGCGCTCCCCGCAGGCCTCTTCTCCGAGTGCTACCACAACAGCGAGGACCGGGCCTTCGCCCTGCTAGTGCGCCGCACCCGCTCCTGGAGCCGCACCACCTGCCTGCACCTGGCCACCGAGGCCGACACCAAGGCCTTCTTCGCCCACGAAGGCGTGCAGGTGAGCGGCGGGCGGGCGGCCGGGCTAGGCGGCCGGGGGGCGGTAGGTGCCCGCTGGCCCCTCCCCTCCTCCCCCCCCACCCCCCCCCCCCCCCCCGCCAGCAGCCGCCCTCGCTCTCACGTCCCAGCCTCAGGGTGGGTCCCCGTCCCCGGGCCTGCGGCCCCCAGCCCGCCCCCGCATGGCATGGAGTCCCGGATGGAGGCCGGCAGGCTGGGCTCCAGCCGGCGGGAGGGTGTGCCCGGCACAGGGCACACAGGGCAGCGGAGAAGGGCGGCGGCGGGCGCTCTGTTGCAGGCCTTCCTGACCAAGATCTGGTGGGGGGACATGGCCGCGGGCACGCCGGTGCTGCGGCTGCTGGGCACCTTCCTGTGCCCGGGGCTGCTCTACACCGGCCTCATCGCCTTCAGGTGCGTGGGCGGGGATGGGGCGGGGCCGCGGGGGCGGGGCCCCCACCCGCGTGCCTCCCCGTGCACCCAGATCCCCTGCTGGCGGCCCCTGGAGGCCCCTCGCGTGGCCTGAGGGTGCCCTGTGCTTGCAGCCAGGAGGCCCCGCAGCGGCCGGGCCGGGAGGACCTGCGGGAGCTGGACAGCCTGGACGCGGAGGAGAAGAGCCTGCTGGGCGGCCCGGGCGGGTGCGCTGGAGGGCGGGAGGGAGGGGCCTGGGGGAGTCTCCGGGCCTGGCCCTGCCTCACCGTGCCCCCTTGCCGACAGGGAGCCGGCGGAGCCTCGGAGGACGCAGGGCGGCCGGGACCGGCGAGCGGCCTTCCTGCCCGCACGCTGGCGGCAGTTCTGGGGCGCCCCCGTGACCGTGTTCCTGGGGAACGTGCTCATGTACTTCGCCTTCCTCTTCCTGTTCACCTACGTCCTGCTGGTGGACTTCCGGCCGCCCCCCCAGGGGCCGTCGGGGCCTGAGGTCACCCTGTACTTCTGGGTCTTCACCCTCGTGCTGGAGGAGGTCCGGCAGGTGAGCGGTGGGCCTGTCCCAGCCACGGAGCCCCCGTCCCGGCCCCGAGCCCCCGTCCCAGCCACGGAGACCCCGTCCCGCCCTGAGCCCCCGTCCCAGCCACGGAGTCCCCGTCCCGCCCCGAGCCCCCATCCCAGACCCCGAGCCCCCGTCCCAGTCCCCGAGCCCCCGTCCCAGACCCCGAGCCCCCGTCCCAGCCATGGAGTCCCCGTCCCGCCCTGAGCCCCCGTCCCAGCCATGGAGTCCCCGTCCCGCCCCGAGCCCCCGTCCCAGCCCCCGAGCCCCTGTCCCGGCCCCCCGGCCCCTGTCCCGGCCCCGAGCCCCCGTCCCAGCCACCCAGCCCCGTCCCAGCCTCTGAGCCCACGTCCCAGACCCCTGAGCCCCGTCCCGGCTGCCGAGCCCCCATCCCAGACCCCGAGCCCCCGTCCCAGCTCCAGACTGAGTGTGCCCTGTGCCCTGTGCCCTGCGTCCTGCGCCCCAGCTGCTCGGGGGCTGTGGGGAGGAGGAAGGGCGCTGCAGCGAGCGCCTGTCTGCCTGGCCAGGGCTTCTTCACGGACGAGGACACGCAGCTGGGGAAGCAGCTCACGCTCTACGTGGAGGACAACTGGAACAAGTGTGACATGGTGGCCATTTTCCTGTTCGTCGTGGGCGTCACCTGCAGGTCTGGGCGGAGGGCGGCCGCGGGGCGGGGCAGGCGGAGCCCCGCGGGCCTCGGGACCACTCCCCTCCGCCTGGCTGTCCGGGGCCCTCGCCCCCGGCAGCGGCAGCCCTCCAGCCCGCCGTGCCCGCCAGGATGCTGCCCATGGCGTTCGAGGCTGGCCGCGCCGTCCTCGCCATCGACTTCATGGTGTTCACGCTCCGCCTCATCCACATCTTCGCCATCCACAAGCAGCTGGGCCCCAAGATCATCATCGTGGAGCGAATGGTGCGCCCCGGCCCGGCCTGGGGAGGGCGGCCCGGCCTGGGGAGGGCAGCCCGTGGGGGTCGGTGGCCCTGGCCTAGGGGTCGGTGGCCCGGCCTGGCTGACGATGCCCGTCCCTCAGATGAAGGATGTCTTCTTCTTCCTCTTCTTCCTGAGTGTGTGGCTGGTGGCCTACGGCGTGGCCACCCAGGCGCTGCTGCACCCGCACGACAGGCGCCTGGAGTGGGTGTTCCGCCGTGTGCTCTACCGGCCCTACCTGCAGATCTTCGGGCAGATCCCCCTGGACGAGATCGACGGTCAGCACGGCCGGGGCGGGCACCGGGGCGGCCTGGGTGGGACCCTGCGGGGCAGTGACCGAGGTTCCTCCTGAGACCAGCCCGGAGCGTCCAACAGGGCCTTTCTGAGCAGCCCGGCCCTGCACACGCCCAGGCGGCACGGCCGACCTCAGGCTTGGGCTGGACACAGGCACCCGAGGCTGGAGGGGGCCAGGGCCGGTCCGGGTTTGCATGCGGCGGGGCCACCCCCATCCACCCTGACCATGGCCGGGGTCTGGGCTCCGCTGGCCGGCCCCACGCCCCTGGGCCTCTGCCCTCCTGCACGACCCCGCTGGGCAGTGAGGGCAGCGAGTCTCCTGGCACCTCCCCACCCAGGGCCCCGGCCCTGCCCAGGCCCCCCACTGTGCGCCTTCCCTTCCCTTTGGGGGGTGGGGGAGGCTGCCCTGTGCCTGGCAGGGCCAGGGTGAGCTCTGAGCGTGCCCCACAACAGGGACCAGGTGGGGAGCCAGCTGCCGGCTGTGAGCGGCAGGAGAGGCGGGTGGGGACGGACAGCAGCAGGGCCTGGGGTGGGGCGGCAGTCTGTGAGGGGGGTGGGGGAGAGGTGGGCAGCCCGGACACAGCCCCGGGCGCTCCTGGGCAGTCGCGGGCTCACTGGGCCGCAGAGGCTGACCCTGACCAGCTAATGAGGCAGGACCGCGGGTAAATATTTGCCCGGAGGATGGCGCGTGACGGAGCCACAGGCGGCAGGAAGGGGGGCCGCCATGGCCGTGCCCCCAGCCGGCGCCAAGGCCGGCTCTGCGGGCTGTTTCCCAGCCCTGCACCTCCTGTGTTTGCTCACCCTCAGCCTGGTTTTCCAGGCCATTAGCTCACAGAGCGCTGCCCTCGCCGCGACCCCAGGCAGGAGGGGAGCGAGGGGCCTCCAGTGTGAGGTGGGGGCACTCCAGCCGGTCCCAGCGCAGGCTGGTCCGGGGATGGTGTGGCATGGGGCCCCTGGGAGGCTCAGGGCCTGAGACTCCGAGGGTCCGAGCCCTCCTGAGGCCTGACCGGCCGCCGTGCTGGTGGGCAGACCCGCACGGAGGGCCCGGACCAGGGCTGCCGCCCCGGTGAGCCCGCCAGGCTGCGGTGACAGGAGGGCCGGGAGGGAAACCGAGTCCCGGCGCCTTCCTGCTCTCCCCCAGGCGGGAGGGGCCTGCTGGGCTGTGACCGGAGGAGTTAATCTGCAGCCCAGCCGGCGGCGCCCGGTGAGCAGGAAGCTCCGGTCTCATTACCGGAGCTGCTCTCCTGAGATTTACGGCTTCACAAACGCAGCCCCCCGGGAAGCGGCCGGGAGAGGCAGCGGGAGGGAGGTCGCTGCGCTGCCCGGGTCACCCAGGGGAGGGGAGAGGGACACACAGTGAGGAAGGCATGGCACACGCGTGCCCAGTGGTGGGGACACGGCACCTGGACCTCTGTGTCGCCTGCCAGCAGCTCCTCGGTCCTGCAGGCTGAGCACGCCTCCCCACGGGCTCCCCCGAGGGGCCTGAGCACCTGGGACCCCACGGGCTGCCCTCCTGTGCCGAGGGCTGGGCTGGGGCCAGGGCGGGCGCCGGCCTGTCCTAGATGTGCTCCCCAGACGGAACTGGTGTCAGAAAAGCCCTGGGAAGCCCTGCCCCAGGGACTGCCCTGCCAGCTCTACCCGTGGCTGGGGCAGAGCCTCGGGTCCGAGCACAGGAGCGGAGGGGGGGGGGGGCATTCACCCCGGAGCAGACACGGGGCCTCCGCCCCCCGGGCCTATGCCCTCCCCGTGGCCGCCAGCTGGCCTGGGGTGTCCCGTGAGGGGGCCTTCGGAGCGCCGGGTGGGGGTCGCCCTGCCATGCCCTCACCCGGGGCGGCCACCAGGAGGCAGATGGCCGCCCACCAGCAGCCCCCCCTTCCAGAGGCCCGCGTGAACTGCTCGGCCCACCCACTGATGTCCGAGGGCTCCCCCGCCTGCCCCAACCTCTACGCAAACTGGCTGGTCATCCTGCTGCTCATCACTTTCCTGCTGGTCACCAACGTGCTGCTCATGAACCTGCTCATCGCCATGTTCAGGTGCCGGCCCGGCCTGCGCCCCATGGGGGCCGGGAGGTCACCCCGGACTGGGCCCCTAGGGGAGGTCACCCTGGGCCTGGGCCCATGGGGGAGGTCACCATGGGCCTGGGCTCTACGGAGGAGGTCACCCTGGGCCTGGGCCCCTAGGAGAGGTCACCCTGGGGCTGGGCCCATGGGGGAGGTCACCCTGGGCCTGGGCCCCATGGGGGGGGGGTGGGAGGTCACCCTGGGCCTGGGCCCATGGGGGAGGTCATGCTGGGCCTGCGCCCCATGGGGGGGCAGGAGGTCACCCCGGACCGGGATCCCAGGGGAGGTCACCCCACACCAGCAGGGCTGGGGCCTTCAGAGGCTGAGGGCATGGAGGTGTCGGGGGGCAGCGGGGTCAGTGGAAGCCCCCTGATGAGTGCCCCCACGTCAGACTCCCCCCAGAACTATGGGGGAGCCGAGGAGGAGGGGCCAGGCTCTGAGGGCCCCTCGCTCCGGGCCTGCAGCTCCACCTTCCAGATGGTGCAGGGCAACGCGGACACCTTCTGGCGGTTCCAGCGCTACCACCTCATTGTGGAGTACCAGGAGCGCCCCGCCCTGGCCCCGCCCTTCATCCTGCTCAGCCACCTGGGCCTGGCGCTGCAGAGGGCCTTCCGCAAGGAGGCGGGGCAGAAGCGGGCACGCCTGGGTGAGGCCGCCTGGCGGGCGGGCAGGAGGGAGGGGCACTGTGTCCGGCCGATGGGGGGAGAGGGGGTGGGAGGGCTGGGGAGGGGCACCCCGGTGCGGGCTCCGGCTGAGCTGCCCGGCTCCTGCCTTCCCGGCACTCTCCGAGGCCCACCTGCCGCTTCCAGAGAGAGACCTGCCGGAGCCCCTGGACCAGAAGATGGTGACGTGGGAGGCGGTGCAGAAGGAGAGCTACCTGAGCAAGCTGGAGCGGAGCCGGCGAGACAGCGAGGCCGAGGTGCTGCGGAGGACCGCCCACAGGTGCGGGCCGCAGGGCGGGCCGTCCCCGGGCCGCCTGGAGCCGTGGCCTCTGCACTCGCAGGAGCTGGGCGCTGAGGCTGCCTGAGGCTTGAGGGCCCAGCACCCGCCTCCTGGCCCCGAACAGGGCTCTTCTGGGCCTTGCCGGCCCCGCACTTGGGGGCCAAGGGCCAGTACGTGTGGTGTCCTCCCTGCTCTGGGGCCTCCGAACTGAAGCCGGCCTTTCGCCTGCCCACCCCCCCCCTCCCCCGGTGTCCCAGGTGGTGCACCCGACCTCCTGAGCCCTCGGTGCCTGTGCCAGCGGGCGGGACGGTCCTGCCCCGGGGAGGGTGCAGCAGCACGGAGGCGAGGGGCAGAGGCCTCAGCGACCCCGGCCCACCCAAAGGCGGCAGGACGAGGGAGGACGGAGAGTCCCCGGTTCGGAGGCCCCGTGGCCGACGGTGGCCTGTGCCCCTGCTCTCCACAGGGTGGAGGTCATCGCCAAGCAGCTCGGGGGGCTGAGAGAGCAAGAGAAGCGCATCCGGGGCCTGGAGTCACAGGTGGGCGGCCAGCCAGACCCCGCCCCCCGGCTAAGACGCACCCCCGCTGGGCTCAGCACCCCCTGCCAGCTGTGCCCTCCCGGAGAGGCCTGTCCACCCTGCACACCCGGAGCCTCACCCTCCGCCCCCTTCCTGCGCGTGCAGCGGAGGTCCTGGCAGGAGAGCGCGGGGAGGGGCCTGGGGCTGGGCCTGGCCTGGGGGCCTGACGCCTCTCCCTCTGCAGGTCAACTACTGCACGGTGCTCCTGGCCTCCGTGGCCGACAGGCTGCCCCCGGGCAGTGGCCAGCACAGTAAGTGTCGGGAGGCCGCTGTCCTGCCCTGCCCGGCGGGACCTGCCCTGCCCCGATGGCCCTGGCCAAGCCCCTGACCCAGCCAGGCCTGAGGGTGGTCTCAGACCGGGGGGGGGGGGGGGGGGGCAGGTCCCAGGCTCCCCGGCGGCCGCCTCTCCCTCCCCGGCCCCGCAGTGAGCAGCCCTCCTCCCGCCCCCCAGACTCCTGGAACGTGGCCGTGGGGAGCCGGCAGGCCCCCGCTGAGCGTGGAGGGGGCCGGGGGGCAGAGGCCACCCAGAGGCCAGCCCGCCGCCCTCGGACACCTGAGCCCCTCGGACGTCAGCACACAGCCCTCCCGGAGCCCTAGGCCCAGCCCTGTGGCCCTTAGTTACCCCAGGTCCAACCCACACACGGTGCCCCCCCAACTCCCAATGGCTTCATCGAAAGGGAACCCTCATGCCTGCCTGGCACCTGCTGGAGCCTGAGCCGGCCGGCTGGCCTGCACCAAGACAGCGAGCGCGCACCAAGCCCCGTCCACCTCCCGCCTCAGGGCCCACACCGACCCCCCACAACCTGTTGCCCAATAAACTAACCACTCTGACATGGTGTGGCTGGAGTGCCAGCCCTCAACACGCGTGTGCGTGCTCGCCACGTGTCGGCCCCCACCCCCATCCCCCCAGCAGCTGAGGCGGATTGTGTCCAGTCGGGGAGCTCAGGGCACTGCCCCGCCTCGGGCTGCTCTCCCTGGGACGGGCCTGGAGAACAGGCCACACCTGGGCTGCAGCCAGACCCGAGGGCCCTGGGAGGCATTCGGGTGGCCGGGCTGTGGACCATGTGCCGTGGGAGAGGCTTCCTGGCCCGTGGGTTGGGGGCCAAGGCTCCTTGCTCCCCCATGTGAGGCGAGGGCCAGCCCCTGGGTAAGACCTGCTGCTGCTGAATGCAGGGCCGTGGCGCTATTAGAGGCTCATGTGGGAGCCGTGACGCTGTCATGACGGTGGCGTGGGAGCCGTGACGCTGTCATGACGGTGGCGTGGGAGCCGTGACGCTGTCATGACGGTGGTGTGGGAGCCGTGACGCTGTCATGACGGTGGCGTGGGAGCTGTGATGCTGTCAGGAGGCTGCGTGGGACTGGCGCTGGGGGAGGTAGAGAGCAGAGGTCCCGGCCTGCAGGTCCTGGGAGGGGGAGGGTCTAGAGCGACACGGAGCCAGAGTAAAACCCAAAACCTTTATTGTTCCTCCACGGCACCCGCGGGCCCAGCTTCCAGTTCCCTTGGCAAGGTCCCTGCCCAAAGACGGCTGCCTGGGCCCAACCAGGCCACGGCGCCACCAACAGGCTGCCCGCCTGGCTCCTGACGGCCGCGCTGTCAGCCCTCAGCCCCGGGGGCCTCGGGGGCCTCGGGGGCCGTGCTCTGGCTCCGGAAGTGGTCTCTGCTCCGCTTCCTGCTGCCGTGGAAGCCGACCGTCTCCACGGCCGGGGGGGCTGCCGCTGGCCTGCCACGGGGGGCCCCCTCGGGCACGTCCACCTCCTGCAGGCCCCCGTGGGGGCCCCCCCACTCCTCGGCCTCGGGGCTCCCGGGCCTGGCCAGGTGGGCCAGCTCCACGGAGCCCTCGGCCCGGCCCGGGGCCCCTGCCTCGGGCTGGACCCTCTTCCTCTCGGGCCGGGCCTCGGCGCGCGGCGGCCGGCAGAAGACGACGCGGCCCTCGCCGCTGCTGGACGGGTCCTGGTTGAAGGAGGGCTCGTAGGCGCTGGGCGCGGCCCCACGCCGGGAGCCCAGGAAGTCCAGGGCGGCCGCCCGGTTGCTCTGCTCGCTGGCCTCGGCCGTGTCCTCCAGGCTGTACCTGGTCCAGCGCTCGGGGTGGGCCACGTAGTCGGGCACGGGGGGCACCCGGGGGGGCACGAGGCTCTGCCGGGCCCTGCCCAGGCCCTCTGCTAGGGGCCGGCAGGGGGGCGCCCGGGGCTGCTTGAAGCCCGCACCGTCCCCCAGGCCCGCCTGGCCGGCGGCGGGCACAGCCCGCCGGGCCGCCCCCTCCAGGCAGTCGAAGATGCTCTGGCTGCGCTGGGAGAAGGTGCTGCTGGTGCCCCGCAGGCAGAAAGGCTGCACGGCAGCCGCGGGGGGGGCCCTGGGCGGCGAGGGGGAGCTGTCGGGGCCCGAGTCCCCCTGGGTCTCCCCAGGCGGCAGCTCTGGGGACAGAGCCTCCAGCGGGGCGCTGCCTGGCCAGCTGAGGTCGGAGTCCGAGTCCGAGTCGCTGAGGGAGACGGTGGGTGGAGGCAGGACGTCGTACTCCGTCCCCTGCTCCACCTCCAGGCCCGGGGAGGGCTCGCCGGCCCCCACCTCAGCCATGTGTCCGCCGCAGCACACCTAGACCCAGACAGCGTGAGGCCCGGCTCACAGCCCCGCCCGCGCCCTCCCGGACACCCTCTCCTCACCTTCCCGGGTGCCGGGTGCCGATGCCCGGGTCCTGTGGGCCGTGTCCTCAACACCAAGTCGCCTGCGAGGCTCTGCGAGGCTGTCCCACGAGGCTGAGGGAGGGGAGGGACGGCCCAGTCAGTCCGGACAGTGAATACAACGAGGGTGGGGGTGAGTGGGGAGTGGGTGTGCGCTGGTGCCATGATCGGTGAGCGGCAGAGGCCAGGTAGTGGTGCCTCCCACCCAGCACCTCACTTAGCACCCACAGGCCAGGGGAGGGCTGGCCTGCCCCACCTCAGCCCCCATCCTGGCCGCAGCACCCCCAGACCCAAATGCTAAGTCCAAATGCAGGAGGAAGGGGCCCTCGGGGGCGGCGGTGCAGCAAGCGGCCCGGGCTCCGCTCGGACCCTCCCCACGGGCGCGGCCCCTGCCAGGCCAGCAGGACAGGGGCTCCTGTGCGTGCGGGGAGCTGCCCTGCCAGCTCCCGAGGGGTCTGCGGCCACGTCCTGGGCATCGGACGGTCCCGCTCGGGGAACTGGGCGCGGACCAGCACCTGCAGGAGCCCCGCTGGGCGGAGGCGAGTCCCTGTGGCTCCTGGAGTGACTTCCGGGGGCGCCTCTCCTGCCCCCCGGCCCCCACCCCTGTCCCGGCTGGGCCCGCCCCCCTCACCCCAGGCCGGGCGGCCCGGGCGGAGCGCCCCTGCACAAGCCCAGCACCCCGAGGCCCCATCCCCGGGTCCCCCCTCCCCCGATCCGGGAAGGAGCACACCCCGCGGCGTCCGCTGGGCCCGGCACACGCGCCGCAGGCGAAGCGGGTTCCGAGCTGCCCGGCTTCCCAGGAGGCGCCCGCCCACCACCCGCCGGAGAGCGGCCGGACGGCCGGACAGCCGGGGCGGGGTCTCCGAGAACCGGGGGAGTTCAGAGGGCGGCGCCGCGTCCGGGCCGCGGGGCTGGGGACGGGGCGCCGGACCCCGGCTCCCGGGCACCGCTCCCGCTGGAGGCAGAGCCCGGCTTCCCCGCGGGGTGGGCCCCAGCCGCCCGTGCGCAGCAGGCGCCCCTTCGGAGGCCTGGGTTCCGGGGCCACGGCCCGGGCCTCACGAGAGTCGCGGACCCAAGGGCCAGGCTGGAAGCCTGGGATTCGAAGAGGCCCCCGCGAGGTGCTGCGGGCCCGCGCCGCCACCCGCGCCCATCACAGACCTGCGGCTTACAGCGGCCCGGCCGTCTCCATCTTGCATCGTGCTCGGCCCTCTGGGAAACCGAGTCCTTCGCCGGCCGAGCGCCGCAGCTGCTGTGCCCGGTGAACTACATCTCCCACAAGACACTGGGGCGCTCCTCCCGAGGCCTATCGGGACAAGCGATCGTTACTCATGCGCTCTCTTGCTAACCTACCCATCCCCGGAAATGGCGTCACTGGTTCGCGAAAAGAACCCGGAATTGATTAAAGGGGGTTAGGGGTGAGGACTGCGAGATCTAACGGTCCTAGTATTGTTCCCGAGGCCTCAACGCCCCCTATCGGAGGCCGTGAGGACAGCGGCCCCTCTGGCCGGAAGTGTGTCGTAGCGCAAGGCGGGCGCCGTTCGCAGACACTTCCGGTCCCGGCCGGAACTGACCGGCCGCGTCTTCGATGGTTCTGGGCCCGGATTGGGCGGTCAGGCCAGGCGGCAGCCGGGGCATCCCGCTCGGGAGCGGCACTGGAAGCGGGTGGCAGGCCCCGGGTACAGGCCGCGTGGCCCCGCCAAGTGCGGGAATCTTCTCCCTCCCCCAGCTGCTGTCCCGGCGCCTCCGGAGCCAGGGTTCCGGCCCGTCCTCCCTGCACCCGACCCCTCACCCCCAGTCCGTGTCATCCGGGGTCACACAGCAGGGCGCCGGTCCTCCAGCCCCTGGGCCATCTGCCCGCCCGCCCGGCTGTGGAGGGCGACCTGCTGCGGCCCCGGGGCTCCCCTGCGGCCCGGCTGGTTCCAGCTTCAGTCCCCGAGGAGGCCCACGTGACCCACAGCCAGGCCCTCTGGCCTCAGGTCCATGGATGGTCCACATTGTGGGTGCCCGCCTGAGGCTCATGGTGACGCCCCCGCGCCCCCCACTTCCCGGGCCAGCAGCCTGAGTCCACTGGATCGGAGCGTGGACACGCCACCCCTCCAGCCCGGCTCCTCCGGGCACCCAGATGGGCAGGGAGGAGCCTTGGGAGGGGCGGGCACGGTGCCCCGTGGAGCCTTCGCAGGAGGAGCAGGCGGGTCTTGCAGAGGCCTCCCCAGCTCACCCCCTCCTGCCCCTCCGGGCAGGGTGCACAGCAGGGGGTTGTGGGTGAGGGTAGGATGTTTCTGGGGGCACAGGGCCCGACAGAGGGGCCCCTGCCCCATGGAACGCTCCCCACGCCCCCCCCCCCCACCGCCCAGCAGGGTGGGCAGCACCCGGGCCCAGCCAGGCCCAGAGCCGAGCCCCCACCAGATGTCACACTCGGCGGGCACAGGCGGGCACAGGCAGGGCCGGGGTGTTGGCATGCCTAGTCTCTCCTTTATTGAGTGAACGGAGATGTAGTTACAATGGAAGGTGCCGTGTTAGAAGGACAGGTGTGTTGAAGGCAGAGGCTGCTCACAGACCCGGCTCCGAGGCCGGGGGCAGGAAGGGGACAAGGATTAAAAAAAGGCAGAGCCTTCGGGGGCGGGTGGGCGGGCGGCAGGTGCTCTCGGCCGGAGAGGCCTGGCTGAGCGGGCAGAGTCCCCCCCGCCGTGGCCCAGAGCAGAGGGGACCCTGCCCCGCTGTCCCCAAGGCCTGCTCCTGTGCCTCCTACAGGGATCGCAGCCCCAGAAGGTGATGGGGAGCAGAACCTCGGAGTGAAAAAGCTAGTACGTGTAGCAGAGTAATACCGGGAGGTTATCTACACGGCCGTGCGCCCTCCGGACGCCGGGCCTCGGCAGCCGTGCCGCGGGCGGGGCCTCAGTACACGGAGCTGTTCCGGATGCCGCAGCAGAGCACCATGCTCAGGATCATCTCGAAGATCTGCGGGAGGGGGAGGGGGAGGGGGAGGGCGGCCGTCAGCACCAGCCTCCCTCCCTCCCTCCCTCCCGGGGCAGGGAAGGGCCCCCCCCCACCTCCCCGCCCCCTGCCCGCCCGCTCACCATGATCACGGCGACCACGATGGCCGCGATGCCGATGAGGTACAGCTTCCCCGAGAAGAGGTCGTCGATCTTCTGGTGGCAGTTCGCCTGCAGGGCGGGGCGGGGGTCAGGGGTCAGGGTGCCAGGCCTCCGCCCCTGCTCCCCAGCAGTGCAGGAGGGTCACTGCACTCCCACCCCCTCAGCCCCAGTCTCTGTACGTTTGATCTGACGTGTTTTCAAACCAAAGTGGCTCAGGGGTTGAGCATCGACCTCGGAACCAGGTCACTATTCCACTTCCTGGCAGGACACGTGCCCCAGTCGCAGGCTCGGTCCCCAGTGGGGCGTGCAAGAGGCAGCCGATCAATGTCTGTCTGTCTGTCTGTCTCTCAAATCTATAAAATGTATTTTAAAACAACGTGCTGCGCCCGCTTCCCCTCAGAGACCACGCAGCAGGACCTGGGCGCTGACCGGGAGGTCAGGGCGCCCGCCCCGCCAGGGCTGCCCCACCAGGAACCAAACCGGGTGGACAGTCCCTTCCCGTGGCCTGGGCACCAGCCGGTGTGGCCACCCGGGCCCCTGGAGGGCGGGCTGGGAGCAGGTGGGCTGCCCACGCCCCTCACCTTCAGGTTGTTGAGCAGCGAGCTGTCCGAGGGACACAGGTTGTTCTTGAGGATGGAGGTGGTGAGGGTGCTCAGTGCATCAGAGCCACAGCAGCTGAGCTGCAGAGACAGAGGGCGGCCATCAGCCCGCATGTGGCAGTGACCGAAGGTCCCCTCCTCCCCTCCCGCTCAGCTCTGCTGCTCGGAGACCCAGCACCCCGGCCGGCCCGGCCTATCTGATCCCCACCATGGGCCACAGGTGCCAGAGGACCCCCCATCTCCCCCCCACCCCACCCCCGGCTCACAGAGGGCCACGGTCCTGAGGAGCAGGCCTGTCAGGTCCTTCCTGCTCCCGAGGCTTCACCCCTGCCCCCGTCCCGCTCTCCCCAATCCCCAGCGCCCGCCCCGCCGCACCGTCTCGTGGAAGGTCTTGACCACGGTCTTGGCGTTGTTGGCCTCATCGTCCACCACCGCCTGCTGCAGGGCCTGGTCGTAGAACTGCTTCACGTCCTTGGCGATCTGCGGAGGGGGGGTGTACAGTGAGGGCCGGGCCTCCTGGGCTCCAGTCAGCCCCAGCCCCTGCCCCCAGGCCCAGCCCCAGCCCCCAGGCCGCTCCCCCGAGAGCACCTGCCCCCCCACCTCCCTGCCATCCCCACGGCCCAGGCTCACCTGGTCTTTGTTGACGAAGCCCCAGATGCCGGCGGCCACCTCACAGGCAAAGAGGATCACCAGGCAGGTGAAGAACTGCAAAGGCCGAGAGAGGGGGTCAGGGCGGGGGGTAGGGGTGGGGAGGGGTCAGGCCGGAGGGGGTCAGACCAGAGGGGGGTCAGGGCAGGGGAGTCAGGGCAGGGGGGAGTCAGGCCAGAGGGGGGGTCAGGGCAGGCCAGGACCACCCGGGGCTCTCCGAGGCCCAGACCAGTGGCGGCGGGGTGGGGCTGGGCTCCCACCGATGGCCAACATCCAAGTGACCACTGTGCGGAGGGGTGCTGGCCGGGCTCCCACCCACCTCCCGCCTGGGAGCGAGCCCCATGGAGCCGGGGCCACGGCAGGCTCTGCAGGGCCGGCCGCCGGGCAGGGAGGCAGGGCCTGGTCGGCGGCGGGAGCACAGGTGCCCCTTCCTCCCTCTCCCCCAGGAGGGGTCACCCTGGTGCCTCGTTTCCCCACCGGAGGCCCCGAGGCCCCAGCCAGGTCACAGGGCTGGGCCCCGAGGGAGGGCCCCCCACCTGTGACCTCTGTGGCATTCTCAAGAAACAGACGGACCAGCTGTGGGACTGGCGTCGGGGGGCCCAGGCAGGCACCGCCAGCCAGGTGGCGTTCACCACGGCCGGGAGCACGGCCTCGGGGGAGGTGCCGGCTGCCCGACCCTCCAAGGCCAGACCGGGCACGGGGGCGCCCCAGCTCCGGAGCTCGCTCAGCCTCCCGGCTCCTGGCCCTCCCCTGGGCGTCAGCCCCCGCCCCCCCCCCCCGCCTCCCCCACTCCCCGCCACGACCTACCGTCCCCAGCAGGCACTGCGACTCCTGGATGGCCCCGTAGCAGCCCAGGAAGCCCACGAACATCATGACGGCGCCCACAGCGATGAGGATGTAGATGCCTGCGGGGGAGGGGCCTCAGTGCCACCGGCCTCCCGCCGTGTCCCCGGCGCCCGCCCCAACCTCCCTCCGGCGCCCAGGCCCAGGTGCCCACCGGCCTCCCGCCGTGTCCCCGGCGCCCAGGCCCAGGCGCCCACCGGCCTCCCGCTGTGTCCCCGGCGCCCACCCCCGGGCGCCCGCCCCGGCCTCCCACCGTGTCCCTGGCGCCCTCCCTGGCTTCTGCCATGTCCCGGCGCCCGCCCCAGCCTACCCGCGGTACACGCCTGCCCGCCGGGAGGGTGAGGGGCTGCAGCCAGCGAGGCCCGTGCCCATTGGCATTCTGGGAAGGGCTCAGAGCTCGGAGGGGACTCTCTCTCCCCGTGTGACCCCTGCACCCCACAGCCCTGTCTTGGTGCTACAGCGGGGAGGGCCCGGCTGTTGGCTGGGGGTGGACAGGTGGGGCAGCCTGCTGGCCGCATGCAGTGCCCACTGCTGCCGGCGGCGCTGGGGCAGCGGGCAGGCCTGGCAGCCTGGGTGGCTGTACAAATGGGAGCTCAGGGCTGGACCCGCCCAAGGCCCAGCCAGGACGGTGTGTGCTGGCGGGCAGCTTGAGGAAGGCACATGGGGTCGGTGTCCTCCCGTCCCAATGCCCACCGGGCTGGGCACTCCTGGAGGCAGGAGCGCCACCGGGAAGGCTCCAGAGGCCCCGGCGTGCCATGCGGCCTTCCTGGTCCCCGTCCCACCACCACCGGGGCCCCTGGGAACGCTGACCTCGTCCCTGCAGGGCCCCAGCCCCCCGCCCTCTGCAGCCCTCGGTCGGCACAGCACCCGCGGCCCCCTAACGCACTCACGCCTGGGCCTGGGCTCAGGACAAGCCTCCGGGGGCGCCCGTAGCCTGACTGGGGGCGGCTGCCCTCGGGCTCCCCGATCCCCGCACAGCCCCTCAGTGAGATGCTGAAGGGGCCCGGGAGGAGACTCATGTCCAGGGCTGTGGAGGGTCCTGCGAGGGGCCAACACACACCAGGCCAGGTGCCCGACCCCAGACCTCCCCCAGCACGGTGCCGTCAGCTCGCAGGTGAGGGCGGGCGCCCGCCCAGGCCCAGGGCTGTCCGAGCCGAGGGCGCCCGCTGACCCGCCCTCGTCCTGGGTCGCACAAAGGGCCCTTGTTCCGAGGGCCCACGTCTGCCCTCCCCGCCCCGGGCTGTCCCAGCCACGTCAGGGCCAGCGACGCCCCAAGGCCGGGGCTCCTGGCCGGGCAGGGCCAGGCAGCCAGGGGGCTCTGGGAGGCCGTGCCCATGGTGGTGGCAGGAGCCTGGTCCAGCCCTCACCCTGCCCACCAAGTGGCCCGGAGCCAGGGGCCGCGCAGAGGCCGGGGCCGCCGGAAAGCACCTGCTGAGGGGGAAACCCGCTCCCCGGCCAGCCTCACACACTTCCCCATGTGTCTGGGCACAGCCCAAGCTCCACCCCACGGGCCACCCCAACCTCCCAGCCACCTGTGCCCCGTGCCCGCTCCCGTCGAGCCCAGCCCTGGCCGCAGCTGGAGCCCCAGTCCTCTCCAGCCAGCCGGGCCTCGAGCGGGCAGCTCACTCACCCCAGGAGAGGGCCCCCTCCCGCATCACCTCCCAGGGAGGCTCCAGCCCCTCAGGCATTTGGGACCCGCTGGCTCCTGCCTGGTGGCTGCAGGCTTAGAGTGGGGGGGGGGGGGAACGCCTGAATGGGGCCCCCAGGGGATCCCCCGAGCCTCAGACACCTGTGAGGCTGGCCCAGGATTGGTGGTGCCCACGTGTGGCGGCAGGCTCCCCCGGGACCAGCCTGGGAGGGGCTCCCGTCTGGGGGGCCTGCAGATGAGGGTTCGGGCCGCCCCAGGGATGGCTGCACCCCCCCACCTATCCCCCCCCAGTTCCCCGGGAACCACGGCCTGAGGCACAGGCTGGGCACTCGGGGGGGGGGGGGGCGGCACCTGCCCAGGTCCCTGCCACCCAGCCCTCTGCCTCCCAGCCCGGCCAGGACCCCGTACCCAGGACTGTGGGCATCAGACCAGGCCTTACACCCCAGCCCACCTGAGCTGGCCCCCAAGGTCAAACCCACTTTCTCTGAAGGGAACTCCTCCCCAACCCCCAGATCCCAGCAAGGCCAGCCCACCTCTGCCCGCCTCTGCCCCCCGCTGGCCAGGACCACAACAGGCCTCCCTGCCCCTGGAGGTGGCGGCTGTCCACCCCCTCCCCGCCCCGTCCCCCCTCTTCCCCCAGACAGCGGAGGCCGGCTGGCCAGTGGGCAGCCTAACTAGGCAGCAAGGTGTGGCTGTGGGGCCTGAGACAGCGCCCGCCCTCCCTTCTGGGCCAGAGTCTCCCCCACCCCCACCCCCAGTCTCATGCCCTGGCTGCCCAGGCGTCTGGCCCCTTCCCAGGCAGGGTCCCAAAATAACCACCCAGGCCCAGCTCCCCACCCCCCTCAGTGGCAGCCCTCCAGCTGTGACTCAGGGGGCCCAGCAAGCCACGCCCCCCCAGTTCCAGCTTTCCCGGGGCCACCGGGGTGGGGGACACCCAGGCCCTCGGGCCCAGGCTGCCCTCACCCCACTCAGCCCGCCTCCTCCAGGGAGCCCTCCCTGACTGCCTGCCTGGCCTCGCCGAGCTCATGACCGGATAGATACCTACTGAGCCACCCTGCTGGCCCCGCCCGCGGCCCAGGAATGGGAACTCACCCACGTAGAAGGTGTTGGGTGCAGGCCTGTCTCCCAGCTCCAGGTAGAGGAGGTTGGTGGTCTGCGGGTCATGGCGCAGCCACAGGGCCACGCCCAGGATCACGCCTCCGGCCAGCTGGGGAGGGACAGGGAGGGTGAGCTGTGGCCCAGGGCAGCAGAGCAGGTGTGACCTGAACACACTGCGTGTGAACCGCCACACATACATGCACACGTGCGCACACACAGACACACACACATACGCACACACGTAGCAACCCTAAACACCGAGTGCCTGTGTTCCTAGGGGGCGCCCTCGTGTGCATTGGCTGGGCCTGGCCACTGGCCACCGCAGACCCCAAGCAGCCCAGGGTGTGCCAGGCCTCGGGGATGGCACTGCCTGGGCACCAGGGAGCCCGTGGAGGACGGGGAGCCCGTAGAGCCCAGATCAGGCCCGGCCCGGCCCGCGCCCACTGAGCACCGGCCAGATCTGGGTGCCCTCCAGGAGCTGAGCTCCAGGAGCTGCAGGGCCCTGGTGGGAGGGCCTGGCCGCTCCTGCCTCCAGCGTCCACGCTGAGCCCACCTCCCAGCCCGGTGCCGGGAACCTCCGGGCCGACCCCACCACGGCCTTGGCCACGTGGCCCTCGGGGAAGAGAAATCACACACAGCCGCCGGCATGGCTCCGGGGTTGAGCTTTAAACTATGAACCAGGAAGTTACAGGTCAATTCCCAGTGCGAGGCGTGCAGGAAGCAGCTGGTCATCAATGTTTCTCTCTCCCTCTCCCTTCCTCTCTGAAGTTAATAAAAATAATTTTTAAAAAGGAAGAAGAAACCAGACCCAGAGAGACTAGCGGACCCGCCTCAGGCCTGACCCCACAGCCCGGGTCAGGGAGGTCCCGGGAGGGAAACGGGAGGGGGTTCCCGGTGAAACTCAGGCCCAGCGCCCAGAGCCACCCCAAGGGGAGCCCCCGGCAGCCCAGGACTCCGGCAGGAGACACGGGGCAATGACAAGGGGCAGGAAGGACTGGGCTGCGCCCCCCACCCCGACCCTCTACCCTGGGCTCAGCGCGGGGGGGGGGGGGGGGGGGGGCACTCAGGCACCAGAGCAGGTGGACTCCCTCGGCTGGGGCTGGGTCCTCAGCGCCTCCTCCCTACTAGCTGGGCGGGGTGGGGAGTGGGCTGGAGGCCGTGGGACGTGCACGGGGGAGGGAGGGTGTGGGGGCGGGGCGGGGGTGCCCCAGTCCTCCCCTCTGAGCTGGCTGCCATCTGCGACTCCAGAGGCGGCTGGGGGTTGCCATGGTAACTCTGGCCTGAACACATCACTTCTGTTTAGAGAGCGTGGTCCAGGGCCCTGCGAGCCGTCCAGGACAGCGGGAGGGGGAGCTGCCGGGCCTCCCTCCGCGGGCATAGAGCCGGCCTCAGTGTCCGTGGCCGGGGAGCCAGCGTGGGGTGGCGCCCGGCTGGGCTGGGGCCCCCCTTTTCTGTGCAGCCAGCCCCTCGCCAGGAGCCGTGGGGAGAAGCCGGGGCAGGGACCTGTGCCTTCATCAAGGTCGATCCTCGCCAGCCCCCCACCGCCACCCTGTTCCCCGTGGTCCCCACCTGCCCTCGGAGAGTAACTGGGAGGCTGCGGCCTGGCTGGGCCGTGCCCCTCCTCCCGGCAGAGGGAGGGGGAACACGTCTGGAGCCCAGAACCCCACAGCCTCGGCCCGGGAGGCAGGCCGGGCCCTGAGACAGCGCCCGCCCTGAGGCTGCTCCCCGAGACGAGCTGCCCATGTGGGGGGGTGGGGGGGAGGTGCCTGCGCCCCTCCCCCCTGTGCCAGAGTGATGCTGTGCCCACGGCCACGGTCCTGGGGGTCCAGCGACTTCCCGGGGCACAGCCCAACCTGGGGCCGCCCGAGCCGCCCGCAGGGGCCAGACGCGGGGACAGAGCCCACAGGGGAGGCAGCGCCCGGACGCCCCCGAAATGCAGACCGGCCCGGGACCCAGGCTGCCTGCCCGGGTGGGGGAGGACCCTCGGGGCTGGCGGACGGGCCCACTGTCCCGATGGGGGACAGCGTTACGCCACCTGCCTGGGCCAAAGCTTAACGACTGTTCATGTTACACACGTGCTGTTTATGCCGAATGAAACTTCAAAAAACCACAAGTCACCCACACCTCTGGCCCCGAACCTCTAAGCAGAAAGGAGCTCCCCTGGGGCTCCCCATCCGTTCCCCAGGCCGAGGACGCACACACACCCGTCCCCAGAGTCCAGCGTCCGTCCACGGGAGGCGATGCCAGGACATGGGGGTGGGTGAGCCGGCCGCGTGGGCGCGGGCCTGGTGCCGCCTCCTGGGGCCGGTGCAGAGCTCCTCACGCCAGCGGGAGCCGCGAGGCCGGCCCACCAGGCCCTCGCCGTCCACCGGGGCTCGGGACCGCCCCGCCAGCCGGCCGAGGGGAAGGCGCCTGCTATGGCAGTTCTGGGGCTGAGCCGCCACCGTGGGGGCTGGTCGGAGGGCCCACAGGGCCCGGCACGGGGCGTCCATAACTCTACGGGATGTCCCGTCTCCTTCCTCCTCCTTTCCGAGAATTAGCGGGGCTGCCAAGCAGGCTGGGCTCCCGCCCGGCCCTGCATTTCCAAGAATCCGTGTCCCGGGTGCTGGGGGAGGGGTGCTGCCCGCAGGCCCGAGGCCCCCTCACCTCCCACCCAGTGCCCAGCCGGCGGCCCCCCTCTGTGGGAACCCGGACAGGCCCCCGCCTGCCGGCCCCTGCCCTGCCTCCATCCCCCCCGGGCAGGCCCAGCCGCCCCAGTGCTGCCCACGCATTCCACGGCCACGGCAGGACAACACCCGCCCAGGGCCCTGGTCCGGCCGGACCTGCCTGTCCTCTGGGGAGGCAGCCCCTCAGAGCCGGGTGGCGGCAGCAGGGACACCCCCGGCCTGGGCTCCGCTCAGCCAGGGGGCCCATGAGGCTGAGAACCGGCACCGCCACCCCCGCCCGGCGTGGCGATGGGGAGGCCGGGCCGGAGGCGGTGCCAGCACGTGAACCGTGTGAAGGCAGGAGGCAGGAAACGCCCGGAGCCTCCGGGAGCCGGGGATGCCCGCGGAGGGGCCGGGAGAGGGTGGGGGGAGGTCCCTGCAGGCTGGCCCTCCTCTGCCCAGCCGGGTCCGGCCCCCTCGGGCTCCGGGCGCATGCTGTCCCCGGCCGGAGGCAGGAAGGACGCTCACTCACAGGAAGCTGAAACTCCCTCGGCCTCTCGACCTCAGGAAGCTGGCGAGGCGTCTAAAAATAGGGCCGGGGAGCCGGGGGGAGGGACAGTGCCCCCCTGGGCCCCGCGGCCGGGAGCAGGTGCCACCTCCCTCAGGGGCAGTGAGAGGCCCAGGCTCAGCTCCCCCCGGGGCCACACCCCGGGCCTGCCCCTCCCGGGTCCAGCCAGCCCTGCCCCCACCCACAGCCCCTGGCCGGGAGGGCCTCCAGTGGAAGCCCATCTGCCCAGGGCCCTGGGGGGCCGTGTGGACACAGACTCGGTGGCCTGCAGAGAGGGGAGCGGGGCCGGCGGGTCTGACGAGGATGTGGTGATGGACAGCCGCCTCGGAGGAGACGGCTCAGGCAGGCGTCCGGGCCAGCAGCACCCAGAGCTGCCGGGCACCGGCCCTGGGGGAGCCGCTCTGGTCCCAGCTCTGGTTTCCGGCCCCCGGGAATCTCCGGGTGCTGCCAGCCGGCGGGAACAGCCACGGGGATGGCTATTACTGGGCGGGGCCGAGGGAAGGCGGGTGGGGTGTGGAGCCCCGGGGAGCCCTGGGTGGGCTGCAGTCACGGGCTCCCCGCCGCTGCCCTCAGTGGCCCCCACACCCAGCCCCCAGCACGGGGCTCTGGGCCCGGGCCTCCCAGCCCCTGGGAAGGTGGCCGCCTGGGGTCCTCTCCCCGGCGCTCACCGCTGTGCCCAGGGTCCTGAGCCCCAAGTCTCCATGCCCCCCACCAGGGGCTGCTCCCCGCCGGGCACAGAACCAACCTCAGCACCGCCCACAGGTGACGCACAGGCGAAACGGGTCACCGTGCCGTCCGACAGGGACGCGGGGCGGTCGGTGCAGAGCGCCGGGCGGCAGCACCGGGCACCGGGCATCACCTGCTTCCCTGTCCCGGGGCCTTCTGGGTAATGGTCACGTCACCCCTGAGCCCGGCCGGATGGCTCCGCATGGAGTCGGCCCTCGAACGGAGAGGTCACCGGCTCGGCTCCCCGTCGGCTTGGCTCCCCGTTGGGGGCAGGCAGCCGCCCGGTGGCTCTCAGTGACGTTCCTCTCTCCACCCCCTCCCTTCTCTCTAAAGAAGCCAGAAAACAAGAGCATGTCCAGTCACAGCGGGGGCACTGCTTCGAGGACCAGGGCAAGTCGGGTCCCAGCTGCCAGACGCCTGGGCCACCGGGGAGGCCCCCAAATGGTCTGTGAACCTGCTCTCACCGGGAGGCGGGGCTGGGCCAGGCCCCCAGTACAGTGTCTGCGTGGGGTGCGGGGTAGGTGTCTCCCAGCTGAGTCACCCAGCCCTCGCCCGAGCCGGCCGGGTCCTGGGTGCCAGGGCCAGAACCAGCAGCTGAGCTCCGCCCCCCTCCCTCCCCTCCCTCCGCCCCTCTCCACCCCCTTCCTCCCCTCCCTCCACCCCTCTCCGCCCCCTCCCTCCCCTTCCTCCCCTCCCTCCGCCCTCTCCTGTAGAGCAGGGCCAGTGCCAGGGACGGGCTCCCCGCACGGGACCTCGCTGATCTGAGGACTCAGCTTTAGGTGAAGGGGAAGCCCGGGCTCAGTCTGGGGGAGCCGTGGTTTGGGGCCGCCCCCTGGTCGGATGGGAAAGCAGCCAGAGATAACGACAAAGCTGAACTCCACGGCCGGAAGCAGAGCTGAGCTGGTGCTAGGGCCTGCAGCCCGGTGAGGCCGGGGCCCAGCTCAGACTTCCTCTCCTCAGCCAGGGGCGCCTAGGGTCCCCTCGGCCCCCCCGGAGAGCCGGCCCAGGAGCCCCCCCCGAAGAGCCCACCCAGAGAGCTGCAGGAGATCTCCACCCCATCCTCATCCTCCCCCCCATCCTCCAGGGCCGCCCTCCCAGAGGGACGCGACGCCCGCTAAGCGACAGACAGTCATGTGCCGTCTGGCAGCGAAAATTAAATGCCCGTTAGTGAGGCTTCTCATCAGCCTCGTTCCCATCAGGCCCGGGCCGGCCGCTGGACCGCGGCCACCGGCTGCATTAGGGGCCGGACGGCCAGGCCAGGCGGGCACGCTCACCCTCCGCCCCAGGACCGGGCACCCCCGGGGGCTCCCTGGGCAGCCCCCCAGGAGAGGCCAGCACATTCGACCCCCAGGGGAGGCCAGACGCCACCCAGGCCACACCCGCCCAGACCACCAGCTCTGGGAGCCGGACGGAGCCTCACCTCCCTGCCCTGCCCCAGCTCTGCCCCCCCCCCCCCCCCCCCCCGGCCGCCCCAATGGGGGATTTCCTGGCCGCCTGGCACCGTGTCCTGCCTCCCAGCCAGATGCCGGGAGCCCAGAGCAGGCGGGTCGGGCAGGCTGTGTGGATGCTGCCTGGGGCCCCGGGCGACAGCAGGGCGAGGCAGGCGCGCCCGTGTGGGCGTGGAGGCGGCCCCAACTCCCTGGGCCGGCGAGCCAGGCCGCCCGAGGCCACTCCGAGTGGGGCCTCTCACTCTGCAATGTAACTAAAATGTTCCCGATCCAGACACCCATCGTCCGTCACCCGTTCTCTGGCCTCCCCCTCAGCACCCACCGCTGCCCTGTGGCCGGGATGGGGGCCTCCCTCCTCCGGGGCCCGGAGCCTGTCCCCAAGGCCACGCCGGCACACCAACACGGTTCCTGCGTCCGCTCCTCGGCAAGCTCATCCACCAGCACCGGGGTCAGGGGTCAGAGGGTGCAGTGCTCCCCATGGGCCAGCACCAGAGCCGTGCGGGGAGGGGGCTTCCACCAGATCCACGCTGCAGCCGGGTGCCCGGGGTGGGGGGCACACGGGGGGCTCCCGAGGGTGTGCCCAGCACCCAGGGCTCAGCGCGCCCGCCAGCGTGGGGGTGGGGGCGGGGCCGTGCCGGGACCCAGACGCCTGTGGGCGGATCTGGCTCTGAGCTCCACGGGGCAGGCCCAGGAGGGAGGGAGGGAGTCCTTACATCCATGTGCCCGGGGGGCCGTGCCAGCTCCACCCGCTGCCTGGGAACCACCGGGCCACCCAGCGGCTCTGACGGGGTGGGCTCCCCCGGAGGGACCCCCGGGCAGGGGGGCAGGACACACACCCCCTCCCCCACCCACCCTCCGCTTCCAACGGCGTCCTCCTCCGCACAGCCAGCTCAGGTGGCCCTCTGACCCCTACCCCGGCCGGAGCAGGCAGATCACGGTCCCTCAGTCAGGCCCGCCCCGGTGGATGTGACACCCACCGCACCCTCGGCTGAGCTCAGCTGGTCCCAGGCCTCTCACCCTGGCCCCGGGGGTGACGGTGCCCTCACCCCATACTCGCTCGGGGCCCACCCCTAGGGTCAGCCTTCCTGCGTCCACTTGGGGAAGGCACCCCACCCCACGCACCCGGGCCTCTCCGGCCAGCAGCGTGGGGCCCGGGCGGGGGTCCTGGTCACCGCCCGGGGGGCTGGGCCCGGGGAGACCGGGCATGGCCGTGTGACCCCCACCCATTCCGGGCCCGCGCACCAACAGGAAGTGAGAACAAAAGTCCAGGCCCGGCCAGGCCCGGGCGCAGCGAGACCCAGGCCAGGAAGCGGCTCCGGACCCTCCTCGCCCACAGGACCGTCCCGTGGGCCCCGCTTCCCCAGTGGGTGCCCCAGGCCGGCGCGGCCGTGTCCGCGGGAAGGGCTGCCGCAGCCCCCACCCCTCAGGCCGCCGGGGCCCCCCTCCGCCCCCCAGGCCAGGCTGCAGCCGGGCGGGTGAGGAGGGCGGGGGCAGGCTCCTCACACGGGGTCCCCGCGGTGCAGGCACCCCAGCCCCGGGCGGGGGGATGCACCCCCCGACCAGCCGCCCACCCCGGGCGGCGGCCGGATGAGCTCATGGGGGCGGGCCGCCCGGAGCCCCGCCCTCGCGCCCCCCTTCCGCCCCCGCGAGGCCGGACGGTCCCGACTCCGCGGCCGGGGCGGCGGGCAGGGCGCGCACCCCACCCCGCACCCGCCTCCCGGGGCGGAGACAGGCCCCAGGCCCCCGCGATGCCTCCGCCCGCCCGGCCGCGGGCTCCGGACCCCCGGACCACAGGCCCCCAGGCCCGGCCCCGGCCCCGGCCCGCCATCGAGGGCGCGGCGCCCGGACGCCTCCCCCGGCCGCCCCCCGGCCCCGCGCACAGGGCGCCCCGCAACTTGGCGGCCCGCCGGGGCCTAGCGGGCGGCGCGGCTGCGGGCCCGGGCTCCCGCTGCAGACCCCCGGCCCGGCCGGGCCCCGCTCACCCAGAAGACGAAATTGAAGACGAAGAGCAGGTACTTGATGCACTTGGTGCATCCCTCCACCCCCATGGCGGCGGCCGGCGGCCTGGCGGGCGGGAGGGGCTGGGCCTGGCGGGCGCGGGGCGCGGGGCGCGGGGCGCGGGCGCGGGTCCGGGGCGGAGTGACGCGGAGGCCGGGCCGGACACGTGAGGTCGCCGCCGCCGCTGCGCGCTCCCTCTCTGGCCGGCGCGCGCCCGCCCCGCTATTTGTACGGCGCCGAGGCCCCGCCCACCGAGAGGCCCCGCCCCGCCCCCGGACCACGCCCACCAGGAGCCCGCCCCCTTCCGGCCCGGGGCTGACGGATGCTCCGGGTCTCCGGCAGCTGGAATCCCAGGCGAACCCCGGGCCGGGCGTCCTCCGAGCCCCCGGGGCCGCGCCGGGGCCAGGCCTGCGGCCCGAGGCCCAGGGAGGGGCCCCGCTCCCCGGACCCGCCCCCGGCGCCGTGCGCCCCGCCCGGAGGCCCCGGAGGAGGGTGTGCCTGCGAGGCCAGCCTGGACCCGGAGGGCAGCGCTGAGTGCACGGGCTCCCTGCGGAACCAGGTGGGCCCGGGGGTCGGGGGCCAGGCCAGGGCTGGGGGCTGGCGGGGGCCGGGGGCCGGAGGCTGGAGCTGGGGGCTGGGGGCCGGGGGCTGGGGCCGGGGCTGGGGGTTGGGGGCCAGGGCTGGGGCCTGGGGGCTGGGGGCTGGGGGCCGGGGGCTGGGGGCCGGGGGCTGGGGCCGGGGCTGGGGGCTGGGGGCCGGGGGCTGGGGGCTGGGGGCTGGGGGTCGGGGGCGGGGGGCCGGGGGCTGGGAGCCGGGGCTGGGGGCCGGGGCTGGGGCCGGGGGCCGGGGCCTGGGGGCTGGGGGCTGGGGCCGGGGGTCGGCGCGGCTGCCGAGGGTCCTGGACGGGCCGTTGGTGGCAGTGGTGAGTCTGGCTTGGAAGCCCTGAGAGGGCCCCCTGGACCAGGGAGGGGGCCTGGGAAGCCGAGCCACCTGGAAGGGAGCCTCCGAGTGGTGGATTTCGTGGGTGCTTCCTTCCCAGTGGTGCCAGGGGTGGAGTGGGCAGGGCGCTCGGCCTCGAGCCCACACCACCGCGCCCGCCCGAGTGGGGCCAGGCCGGTGCTGCCGGGGAACTGGCTTTTTGTAATGCCGCATCCGTCGGTCCCCACTAAATTCCCGGTCAATTTTTTAATATCGATATGTTTTTACTGATTTCAGAGAAGAAGAAGGGAGAGGGAGAGAGAGTGCGAAACATCCATGAGGGGAGAGACGCAGGGACCGGCTGCCTCCTGCTCGCTCCTTAGCGGGGATCAAGCCCGCAACCCGGGATCCCCGGCTTCAACCACGGAGCCACGCCGCCGGCTGGCCGGTCCATTTCAAAACGTGCTGTGGCTGCGCACGCATGCAGGAGCCCCCGGCACCCGCGGGCCTGCGTGTTGTGTCTGAACACGTCCGAGTGACGCTGCCGTGAGAGTGACGTGGGTCTGGCCGGTGGCTCCATGCAGTGGTTCCATTCCGTGGGTTTGAGGTCCGATCCCAGGGATGGGAAGGGAGCGTGCAGGAGGCAGCTGATCCATGAGTGATTCTCTCATTGCTGTTGATGTTTTTCTCTCTCCCTCTCCCTCCCTCTTTCTCTGAAATCGATAAAAATGTTTAACAAGTAAGCTAAGAGCAGTGCGGGCCTTCTCTGGGCCATCAGGGTGGAGGGACAGAGGAAGGTGGGGTGGGCACGGGGCGGGGAGCACCAGGGCTGACGGGCCAGGGGCATTGAAGGCCCTCCGTCGGTCGGGGGCAGCTCCCTGCGCCTCTCACAGCCCTGGGGGCGGGCGGTGGAGGGTTTGCAAGGAAGTCGCAGGCCTGGCTCCGCCCCCGCGGGACCCGCACTCCAGGGAAGGTGTGGCCTGCCTGCGCCATGCCCAGGATGGGCACCCCTCCCTGTGCCCTCCCTGCCCGCCCCGAGGATAGAGGGGGTTTGGAGCCCAGGTTCCCTGGCCGAGCCGCTCCGGCCCGCTGACTCACGGTTTCCTGTGGGAATGAACACAGAGCACCCCAAACAATGAGCCAGGGCATAGAGGGTGCCCCCGAGGAGGCGCCCCGGAGGGAGTGCCCCACGGGCAGTGTCGTACTTTAAGAAAGGAAGCCTTCGCCCACCCGCATGGCTCAGTGGGTGGAGCGTCGGCCTGCAGACGGAAGGGTGCCGGGTTCGATTCCCCATCAGGGCACAGGCCGGGGTGCGGGCTCGGTCCCCAGGGTGGGGTGTGCAAGAGGCAGCAGATCCATGATTCCCTCGTCGTTGATGTTTCTCTCTCTCTCTCCCTTCTTCTCTGAAGTCAATAAAAATACCTTTTAAAAAGAAAAAGAGAGGAAGACTCCAACATCCTAAAACACAGGCCCCTAAAGAGCCTGCCATTGGGGCAGGTTCCGGAATGTTCTGGGTCCTTCCTGGGGGCAGTTCCCGTTAGGATCTGCGAACAAGCTCGCCCTCTCCCTCAAAGACCTCTAGTCCGAGGTCCCTGCGGTGGCTGCTGGCGGGTCGAACAGATTTCACCGGACCCGTGTCCATCCCCGGCCACCACCACAGGGACGCCTGTCCCCCTGGTCCCCCTCCCGCCCACAGCGAGGGCCCCCTCCCCCTCCTTCCCCACAGCGAGGGGCCCCCTCCCCCTCTCACCCACAGCAAGAGGCCCTCTCCCCCTTCGGGCCCCCCTCCCCCCTTCCCCCTCCCACCCACAGCGAGGGCCCCCTCCCCCTCCAGCCCACAGCAAGGGCCCCCCTCCCCCCTCCTGCCCACAGTGAGGGCCCCCTCCCCCTCTCGCCCACAGCGAGGGGCCCCCTGTCCCTTCGGGCCCCCCTCCTCCCTCCCCCCTCCCGCCCACAGCGAGGACCCCCTCCCCCTCCCACCCACAGCGAGGGCCCCCTCCGCCCACAGCGAGGGGCTCAGCTTCCTGGTCCCGTCTGGCTGCTGGGCCGGGGTTCGCCCCCCACAGGCACCTGCCACGTTCCTTCTTCTCATCTCACTGCCTCGGTGGCAGGACCGAAACAGAGGAAGTGACCACGTGTATGGCGGACGGGCGGACAGACGGACGGACCGGCTGTCCACGGGATGGGGGCCCAGGACGGCCAGGCAGTCAGGGGCTCAGGGGGAGGGGGAGGAGGGGTTCGGTTTGGGTTTCACAGAGAAGGCAGGGCCCGGGCGCTGAAGCGTTAATGTTTGTCAAGCCAATGGCCGCTGTGTCGCTGACGGGGACGAGGACTTTGGCCGAGGGATGGCAGCTCCTAGGGCCCAGGCCGCCCGTGATCTCTCCGCCGCCAGGGAGGGCAAAGGTGGTGTGCGTGTGCGTGTGCGTGTGCGTGTGCGTGTGTGTGCTTTCTCGTGTCTTGTTTCAGGTCCGTAGGCGTGCCCGGGGGGAACGGAGCTCTGTCCACCCCCAGTGCCGCCCGGCGGGCGCCTGTCCCTCATCTCTGCCTGGAACCCCCTCACATCGCCGCGTCCTCCCGGCCTGGTCCCGGCGGGAGGGGCTCCCCACGGCTGCGGGGCTGCGGGGCCTGCCCCCCCCCCCCACGTGCCACTGGTGTCGGGAAGGCTGGAGGCCGGGGCTGAGCACAGGGACCGGCCCTTCGTCTGCCCGTGTCCTGGCGTGTCTGCCCCGGGTCCGCCCCGGGCCCGGCCCTTTGTCCGTCCGTGTCCTGGCGTGTCCGCCCCGGGTCCGCCCCGGCGTCTCAGACCAGCGTCTCACTGTCATCTTTGCCTTCCGGCGTCTCCAGATCCCTCCACACTGGGGTCACGGAGCAGACTGGTCTGGGGCCCTTAAACGTTGGGGGGCCCGGAGGGGGTCGCTTGGCCCCGCCACCTCGAGAGTGCGGCGTGCCCCCTCTGCCTGCTGGTTCACAGGACCCCCCGAAGACCCCGCTCCGGGGGCCGCAGGCTCCTCCTCGGCTCCCTGGCCCCGGGAGGGTGCCGGGCCCCCCAGACGCCTCTTTTGCAACTTCCTGTGAGAAAAACAGAAGCTCTAGGCCGTGGTTGGCACACCGCGGCTGGAGAGCCATGTGCGGCTCTTTGGCCCCTTGCGTGTGGCTCTTCCACGAAACTCCACGGCCTGGGCGAGGCTATGGTGAAGAAGTGGCGTTAGAGGCAGTTAAGTTTAAAAAAAAGTGACTCTCCGAAGGAGTTTCAATCTTTGCGCTGTTGACATTTGGCTCTGCTGACTGATGAGCTTGCCGACCACTGGGCTCGGCCGTGACTTCGGAGAACGCCAGTGAAACGGAGGCACCGATAGGCGATGGCACGTGGACAAACCGGGCAGAGGAAGAAGCGGAACTGAGAATCTCTCGAGTTTGCCAGCAGGTCTGAGGGCACGGGAAGCTGACCTGAAGGAGGGCTGGTGGAGGCCCGGAGCTTAGCGGTTTGACACGGCAGCCAGTCGCCATGGCCAGTGTGGCTCAGTGGATAGGGCATTGGCCTGCAGACTGAAGGGTCCCGGGTTTGATTCCAGTCAGGGGCACAGGCCCAGGTTGTGGGCCTGATCTCCAGTAGGGGACGTGCAGGAGGAGGCCGATCCAGGGTTGTCTCTCATCACAGACGTTTCTCTCTTTCCCTCTCCCGTCTCTCTATATTAAAGCCTAAGCGACCAGACGACCGGCTGGCTGGCCAGTAGCTATGACGTGGACAGGCGGGCGCCAGACGCCGGGCTCAGCTGGTGAGTGTGGCTGTGGCGTTGTGAGCATCTCCCTGGCAGCCCGGAGTGACCGTGGCAGGATGGGCGGGAGCAACTCAGGTTCCTCCCAGGCCGCCTGCTGGATCGATGCAGAGGGCGGGCTGGAGCCCACGGGCAGAGGGTGAGGCTGGGCTGCGGGGGGAGGTCCCCTTGTCCCCACAGGCCAGGCCGAGGCCGGGGACCCCACGGTGCACGAATCCACACCCTGGGCCTCCAGTTTAAATAACAACGACAACAGTAGCCGAAACCGGTGTGGCTCAGTGGATGGAGTCTCAGCCTGAGAACTCAAGGGTCCCAGGTTCGATTCCGGTGAAGGGCATGTACCTTGGTTGCGGGCA